AGCTCCTGCCCTGTTTAATATCTATCTTCATGCAATGTTGTCTTGTGCTTTTGATGTGGCTTGTGCTTACGGTGTTCGTGTGGAGCACCGTATTGATGGTGGGTTGCTGAACATCCGTCGTTTCGGTGCGAGAACTCTAGTCTGTGAGACAACTATCCGTATGTTGCTGTTTGCTGACGACTGTGCGTTGTTTTCACACAGCGCGGATGAGTTGCAGCACATGACTAGTGCTCTGGCTTCGACAGCGGCCAAATTCGGGCTCACCATCAACAAAAGCAAAACTGTCTGTCTCTTTCAGCCTTCACCGGAGGTGCAATCTTCCATATTGCCGCAAATCAGCATTGGTGCTGAAGTATTGGAAACCACCTCCCGCTTCTGCTACCTTGGGAGTGTGATGTCGATTGATCAGCAGCTACACGTTGAGTTGCGTAATCGCGTGTCGAAGGCGGCAGCGGCATTCGGGAAGCTTGAGTACCGAGTGTGGAACAACCATCAGCTTAGCATTGGCACGAAGCTGGTGGTGTACAAATCCATGGTACTGTCCGTTCTTCTATACGGCAGTGAAACGTGGACTATGTACCGTCGAGATGTGCGATATCTCGAGCGGTTCCATCAGCAGTGTCTGCGACGAATTTTGCGGATTGGTTGGTGCGCCAGAGTCGCAGACACGGAAGTGTTGCGCCGAAGTGGGATGAATGCAGTGGACCGCATACTTTTATTGAGACACCTGAGATGGCTCGGCCATGTGTGGCGTATGGATTCAAGGCGGATACCGAAAAAACTTTTATGCGGTCAGCTGAGTATTGGGAAGCGGCATGTGGGGAAACCAAAGTTACGTTACCAGGACATGATTAAAGTGAGCCTCACACGTTCTAATCTTGATTGCAGATCATGGGAATCGAAGGCGGTTGATCGTGGTGCATGGCGCAATCTAATCACGAAGGCAGTTGCTGAAGTGCGGGAGAAAGCCCTCATGCATGCAGAGAAGAAGCGGCAGTTGCGGAAGCGGCAAGCACCGATGAATTGTACTCCATCGACATCGAGCGCATTGTGCTGTAGAACATGCGGTCGCGAGTGCCTTAGTCAGGCAGGCCTAGTGAGCCATGAGAGAGGTCACTCGGGACCACTGCCGAAGCGACGACGGGTCCCGCAGTGAACGTAGGCAGCACCGGCGCAGCGTTTGTAGGCACGCTGAATTCGATTTACTAACCGCATGCTTGCATGCTAAGTCTCTTTATTTCAGGTGGTGGGTTTTCGGTTCTCTCCTAATGCCTTTCTTTCTCATACAAATGTCTAGTGGGCCATGAGCTGTGCTATTTGGGGCCACTACAGAAGCGACGACAGGTCCTGCAGAGAATTACGACGAGCCGGCACAGCGTTTGTAGGCACGCTGAATTCGATTTACTAACCGCGTGCTTGCATGCTAAGTCTCTTTATTTCAGGTGGTGGGTTTACAGTTTTTACCTTAATACTTTTCTTTCTCATATAAATATCTCCCTGTACTCTATTCCATTAACTTGCACACATCGCTTCAGGCAATTGTATTCGATTTCCATAACATTTTTGTGTTCGTGGCATTCCGTGAACTATACTTTCTGACCTCGTGCACACAGCTAGGATCCGTTTGTAAACAACTTATTACATATGGTCATTAAATTAAGGTTTATGTCACCGTTTCCTTATGCATTAATCGAGTTATTCTCTTTTTCTTTTCTCTTTTTCTTTCTCTCTCTCAAGTGTTTGGCTGTTGTTTGATATCCCCGGTGTGGCTGCGCTTGATGTGCATATTGACAAGGTGCCTACCTATCTATTACCCACTACCTCGTCCATACTGGCTCCAGGAGACAGTTGGTCGTTGCTAGAGGGGACGGGGTGCACGGTCCTTGTGGCCGTGTTAGGCTCGAAGATTGGTTCCATGCAGTCAGTGTGGAGCGGACTACGGTCCAGCCACCGCCTTGTGTGCGCTTGATTCCCAAATACACCGTGCTTGTGTTTGCCTGTGAAGGAGTGTGGGCCGGCTCCGTTGATGAAACGTGGCTCCCATCCGCATACCTCCCGGCCTTATTCCTTCGTGTTTACACTGGATATGGGGTGTGTGGATGGAGCTGTGGGTGGTGCAGCGCAAGCCATCCATGGTCCCTCTGTAGGCGCAGGCGTTCTGTGGCTTGTCACAGTGACAGGCAAATCCGAAACCGGATGCCGCCAAACATATATATATATATATATATATATATATATATATATATATATATATATGCCCTAGAGCTAAATGTGTACAGCGTTTCGTTGAATTGGCCTGCCTAACCCAATTACTGTCCAATAACTACCTGACTTTGATTGCAGTTTGAGAGACGTTTGGTTCCTGTGTTGCCTCACTATCGTTTTCGCAAAGTGAGCGAAGACAGCTGGGTGCGCTGTTTCGGCAGTTGCGAAACAGCTGATGAACCGAACCGATTGAACAAATACCAACTGACCTACGAAGTCATAATCATGTTCAGGGAGGTGCAGATAAAAAATATTACTGAAGTCCTCCGGTGAGGCTCAGCCGACTGTCTGTTGATGTCCTCCGCGTGACTGCAAGCTAGCTGCCGCCGTCTACTATTACTACATCTAACTGCGTGAAACGCCAGTTAAAAGCAAACCACAATGTCAAGAAGGACGAGTAGATCTGGTGGTACTCGACTTCTTGGATGGGTTTGCGATATCAGCTGCAGCATAAATCTGGTAGCATTTCGGATATAGAGAATTCTCGAGGTCAGTGGTGTGTCAATTTCGGTGTCACTATTACTTACAATTAACTTTTCCAGCTAGCGATTTCAGGTCTTTCCCTCTTGAACTGTCAGTCATTATTGGTAATATTATGATTCGTTTGGCGTGAACCAAGGTGGCTGGATCCATTGTACCTCAGTGCGCCGATCCAAAGTAATCAAGGGAAGCCAACTGAACTCAACCATACAAAGAACGTGACCCTACCGTTGCATCAAACGAGACGAGGAATCAACGGTGTAGCTAACCATGCTAATCAAGAACACGTAAGCGATATGGCTAAACAAATGGGTCGGCGTATTCCCGACAAGCGGGATCCTTTCCCGAACAGGGGAGAGCACTGTACAATGGAACAATATGAACTTTTCAGTGTGCCCCAGCATATCATATCACAACAGTGGTATCAATGATGTTTATGATCGCTGCACAAGTGTGAGAAATCAGCGTTTACTCAGATATACACAACCCGAACAAGTGTTGGCAATTCAGCTACTTAGTCGGAGTACATTTCAAAAGTGAAGTCCAATGTACTGTGAATCGGGGGGGGGGGGAAAGGAACTCAGGATAGAACGATCAGCAGGACAATTATTAGCGACCAATTGCTTAATAGAGGCCCCAGTACACAGTTACTTGTTAAGTATAACCAGAGCTGAGGCAAGGTGTGTATTCGGAATGTCAACGTAACTTGTAGCTATTTTCCCTATGAGAAACTTGAAGCTACAGAAAGAAGCTGGAAAAGGCGTTAAGTAACGAAAGATTAGTGACAAATACCCACGAGCATGTGGTCCTTTTAAAGACAAAAATAAACAGCTGATTCACCATTTTTCCTCTTGGATCCCAGTGGCAAAAGGCATGAGTGGTTGTGTCCGCTGAACCATAAAGCTGCACACTTCCGGACGAACGCAAACTGTGTTGTTGATCGGTAACACATTATCGATCAAATCAGGAGTAGAATGCGGTGAGGTCTAAATAATGACCCATGAGCGATGGAACTAGTTTGCATGGCCTGCGTCACCATGACAATGGCACTATCATTACTATTATACATACTATGATTATAATGATAATCAGTGACACAAGTAGGCATCGACCGACAGGCTGAAAGTCACGAAAAAATGGTTACTCATACAATTGATGAGTTAATTAGACATGTCGCTAAACAACAGAACAGACACATCAAGAGACAGATTAGGTGCACTAATAGGATAGGCACAAACTGATTATCTTGGCGTTGATTACATAAGGGGCTACATTGCATGATCTATACTACGACGGAAGCAATCGAGATAATGCAGTTTGCGTCGCTATCCCACAGCCACCGTTTTCAATAATGTCCATGCAGCGTCTGCCGACTTTGAGAACCCAGTCGACCGGTTTTGACATCCACTGAGCAAAATAGTGCAAGAACTAAGATAGGTGGTGTCTTTAATGCCAGCGCTTAGCAGACTTCGTGTCTCAAATAGCTCTAGGAGAACTGAATATAGCAAACATAGACACACACGCTGGCACAGTGGTAGCAGGCTGGCAGTTTGCCACATAGATCTAAGGAAGTTGAACGATGTCACATGCAGCAATAACCAACGACTGCAAGTCACACAACGGAAAAGGGAGTGTTAACCGTCGTCCAAGCAGCTAATGATAGTGAGGTACATTCTCGATGAGTAAATAGGTGACTATCTCAAGAGGCACCGGTAGCACAGTTGAGTTCCGTTCCGTAGCCTTAAGGATCACAAACCTGCTGTGTAATCCGATGGCGCGGGTTCTCGAGAATGGGTGCTGTGTACCGGCGTATTGCTGATGCCTTATTTCTAGTATGGTCATGATTGGTGACACATGTAGCAAGAAGACGAGCCTCTGCGCACCGTTCAAACAGGCTGGGCGCATACACTGAGATCGAGCAGAGTGAGAGGGGCCGGTTCCCATCAGTATGGAATACATGGCAAAGTGTGCGCCATACGTGTCGTGACATTCCCGTGTGCGCCAGGATATTTCGTTCGTTAGTGTGACCCAGAATATGAGAAGAATAAGTGTAGTTACCGCCTTATGCATGCTGGTGGTACCTCGGATGTGCGGACGCCCCTGTCGACCTGGACGTAAGATCATACGACCGCGTCGCCTGCGCAGCTAGAATGTCAGCAGTTGGGAGAAAATAGCCAATCTAAAGTGGCGAACCCAAATCATCCCCGCTGTTTGATCAACAGTAATCAAGTATCAGCCTTAGTGCTTAGGAGTGATAATTATTGAGTAAGGAGGGACGTAACGACACAATCCGAATGTGGAAATACAAAAAGAAGAGGATGTATGAGGAATACTCGATTTGGTCAGGAGAGCGTAAATGTACAAAACAACAGCGTCCGGATGCGCGTCGGTGGGATTGTACAATTGGATAAAAATCGGCCGCAATGGACTGTCTGTCATGAATGGGTTACACTGTTCTCCGACACAGGGCAGTAGTTGGTGGGAACACCAGAAAGACCGGGCTGAAGTTGGGCAACTGGCGTCTGCCCCAACGACGGAGTCAAACCATACCAACTGCGAGTGAAGTTGCTTGCAGAGCTCTTCAAATCCAGTATTGCCCATTCCCCTCGGGTGACGATAGCTCCTTCGGACTGTTCATCGTCAAGGTGGTTCTCGGTCACATCGAAACGGCGTAGTCTGCCTGTGATGAGTGACACATCATGGAGAGTATCGGATTCGGGGACAAGAGGAGGCACTACCTGATCTTCGGGGCAATACGCCGCTCCGCCTGAGAGACAAACGATTAGGCAAAAAACGAATACGGCTCAGGGAGTGACAAAAAGGAACAGGTAATAATAACAGACGTTTTCAACCAGCCACACATTGTGCGTTTTGTCAAAGGCAGAGTGTGACATAAGTCGCGAGGCGCCCTAGTAGGCTAAGAGCGTAAGGCAAAATTGGCTACCACGTCAGAAGCTAGCGGCTAAGGCCAAATGTGTGCGGCTCGAAACTCCAAAAGAGATGACGAAAAGCCGAAATCAAGGTGGTCATTTCCCTCACCCTTTATAAGTCCTAAGTGAATATATTCTACACTTGATTGCCAAGTCGGATTTAGGGTATGACTGATTGTGTGACGAGACAGTGAAAGGTGCATATATCACCTGCGTAGATGAAGCCAATGGTTTTAAATGGCAGATTGCCTCAAACAAAGTTAGTTACAGTTGTGGTTTCCGTGACCGTAAGGATAATTTGCTGCTGTTGTGCAATCCGGACCGGTCGACTTTTCAGGTCAAAATACAAAGGCACACAGCAAAATCTCGATTGAGTTCCCAAAAAACAGTATGTGTAGCCATAAATGGGGTCATAATACGTAGTTCATGAAAGAATGACCTGGCTAGAAGTCACCGGATTCCAGCAACTAACAGATACCTGAAAATGTGCATGTTGGCTGTGCAGTGATCTCACTGGCAGACTACAAGGTAAAAGGCAGTTAGGCAAAAACATTCGTTTTCGGTGGTTCTCATCAGGTCCTTACATCACAACGAATAGACATTTAGATGCGATGAAGCAATAAAGCGAATCACCCGGTTAATGGGATAAATAAATAGTTTATTCTCGAGTGCATCGCTCTGGTTGGAGCAACTTTAATGGGGGAGGGGGGGTTAAAGGCGTCGTCGTTGCACGGGTAATTGAAGAGCCTGGACAAATTTCATTTGGGTACATAAGTTGGGGTTATGGAGTGGAATAGCGATCGCCTCCTCTGTCGCTAATAGGTCACTTCAGAGAGCTCGCGTGTGCGTCCAGATATTCGGCAGATTATCTGGTAAGTCTCTCACATGTTTATTTGGCGATTTGGGTCAGCCAAGTGCTAAAGCACCGCGCTCACTACCGTCTTCCTCATACCGGTACAGAGCCATGCCAGGCAATGCTCTCGGACTCACTCAGACAGTCGCCTGGTCGCCTTTTTAATATAACTAGCTCGACACGAGCAAGAAAAGTGATACACAGAGAAAAGAATATTCGATCTTGGTATCCTGTCTTTGAATTGTTGGCTAAAGACTGGTTTAGAAGTGAAGCTGACACGGAGATCAATCGCATAGTAGGTACTCGCGGTGGCGTTGGAGGGCCTTCGGTTGACTCGGTCCGTTAGCATGGGATATCACTCTCATTGGTAGACTTCAAAGGGAATCACTGTCATCACCTATCCAATTAGCCTTAAGCTGCCTCCGGTCAAACATCTCCGGACTGCTAGTGTAAGGGCCGGTTTCAAAAGTGGGCTCCCTTAATAGTGGCACCTTCCTTATTAATGGTGGTCTCGATTCTTGCTCACTCTTCTTGAATTATACTTATCATCACTTAGAGTGAACGGATCAAAGTTAACAAAGCGAATAGAACAATATAAAATATCGCTGCTGCGGGCGTCACTGCTTCGAAAACGGAAACCATGCACAACAGAAATGCAATATAGCGGGATATGGTAATTGTTGAGAGCCAAAGTGTACTGGATCTCGAGTGGGTATGGACCTTGTCTCTTATGCTGGAAATATTAAAGAATCAGCTAGATAAAGAATAAGCGATAAGGCGGGTTTATGCTACACGCCCTTAACCCTACGCTCGGCAGAAATAAGTACTCGAAACGGTTCAACAAATCTAACATGTTTGGTTTGAACTATAAACTGATAAGTGCACGACCAAATAGAGCTAACAAGACGTCGAGCTACAATGTAGAAAAACAAGCGCTCACTGTGTGCGTTGGAAAGACTATTTTCGAAAATTTCTTCGCTTGTGATTGTTGTACCTCTATCCTTCCATTCCATCAGATGATTTTGGTCACGTTACTCAAAAATGCGGACAAGCAGAGACCCAGTCAAGCAACCAGACTCTGGGATTAACAAGCACAATTGGGGTACATAAGGCGCCTTTGATTCGCCTATTAAGCAGGTAACCAACAGTTCACCGCCCGTGTTGGGTTCTCGCTCCCAGGTTCGCATGTATCCGCAGCCAACTGGTTGTCATGAGACTCGAGGAGGCTGGTTTGGTACGTTGCAATGAGGATATGAAAGCCTGAGACATTGAGGCTGATTTAGGTGTACTCTTAGAAATCAACAATAAAAATTTGTTTATTTATTCACAACGAGTGTGGTTCATGCATCGGTTTCTGAGTCGGAGCTCACTGAGATCGCTCAAAGACTAAGGCTGGTCGTCACACCGGGGCAAAGAAGGTAGTAGTATTAGCAAGTCTACTGAAGAGGCATAGTCAAACAAAACCATGTAAATCTCTGGAAGACGACAGGTTTAATCACCGCATCAGCATTATGACATTAGTTGAAGGTGAGCAAAACACTTCAGCTATTGTGCCGCAATAAAAGAAAAATGGAGCATTTATGTTGTTCTGCACAAGCCATCTTTCATTTTTTAATCTTTTATAATTGTTAGGCCTTAGGCATCTGAATCTAAACAAGTATCCACACAGATCTTCCACTGGTTTCTAGTGTGCTTCATATCCTAAATTGTTTCCAGCCATCGGCACTCTTCGTTCTTTGCACCCAAACCAGGCAGACGTGCGGATAAGACGGCGGAAAGACGTGAAGCAAACTATTTCATATGCTGTCGCCAAGTCGATAGCTGGCAATCACGTGGTATCTTCCAGCCAAGTCTTGCACGAGCGGAAAAGGTGCAGGGGGTAAACGCTCAGCTGACATACGCAGGACTTGACCCAGACATCTTAACGGACGCAGCAAAACTAGTTTGTTGAATGGAATACTCGCATTCCTTAAGATACGACGTCTGACTTCATTGTTGCAGACACGTTGTTGCCACCGCACACGAGCAAGTAACCTCAAGCACCAATTATCGAAAGTCGAGAGTCGGCGCAGGTCGTCTGCGCGAAGTGGCCACCACTCGCTACTATAGAGTAACACCGCCAGAACTGTGGCATTGTAAACATCGTAAACGCGTCCGTTTATCGATTGAGAGACATCCCGACGACGCTACAAATGTTTCATGTTGACAAATGCCGACTAAGCTTTGGTGATGCGGAGGAAAACTTTTTTCGCAGTAGTGTGACCAGCAGATATGCAGCTGCACAGGTAGACAAAGCTATATACTTGTTCAAGCTGTGTACCTTCAAGAGTGAGCAAGGGAACAGGCGAGTGCCAATTCTGAAGCAGCACATTACACTTCGACGGAGCAAAGCACATTCCGTATCTAGATGCCTCAATCGCCAAAGGGTATAGAATGGTTTGCATGCTCTGAGTCGTCACCAAGTAAGGCGATGTCATCGGCATAATCTAAGTCGGTCGTTTGCTTGCCCAGTAGTAGCGACAGACCAAAGGTTTGGCAACCTTCCAGATTTCTCGACAGGACGTTCTCAATCGCAAAAGTGAAGAGGAACGGAGACATAGGGTAGCCCTGTCGTACACCGCTACTGACAGCGAAGGACGACGAAAGTCAGATATGGACCACTCTACCGGAGATGTGGAGGTAAAGTGTGTGTAGCATAGCAGTGAAGCTTTGTGGGACCTCGTTCTTTAGCAAGCAACACAATAACGCAGATCGATCAAACCGAGGCGAACACAGCACGGATATCTAGGGATGCAAAGATGGTAAACCTCTGGTAGATGCGGCGATGTTCGAGGAGTTGGCGGAGCGTCAATATTTGATCCACACAGTCGCGGCCAAGAAGGAAGCCAGCTTGTTCTTCCCGGTACCGGTATTCACGAATGGGGGATAGTTTAGGGAGCAGAATGGATGCCAATAGCTTGGAAGCAGCCGAAATAAGACTAATCCCCCGTTGATTGGTGTATGAAGTGCGAGCACCCTACTCAAAAATCAGGACACTTACTGACTCGTCTTAGGAAGAAGGTACCTTTCCTTCGTGGCAGATTTTTGAGAACAATTAGGTTAGCTGGCTAATGATAACTGCGCTTTCATACATGAACAACTCCGGAGGAAGTTCGTCTGAGCCGGCAGCCTTAAACTGTTTCAACTTTCGAATCGTAGGACAAACTTCCGTTTGACTGGGTGGATCAAATGTGACTACCCAAGGTAGGTAGCAGGGTTCGCAAGGCATACAAGTGAACAGTGAGGGCCAATAGAACTGGGAATGGCCCATCGATCCAAGCGTCTCTGTAGGTTGGCAATCAGCGAACCATCCGATTCGCACATAGTCCCACTGACACCAGGCTTTATGTGACCAGTGGATCCGGGGTCAATATGACCAACCTACGTATCGTACTCCAAACGCAGTGAGTGAGTATGATCAGGTCGACTGGCGTGTGTAGGTAAGATGGCTGCGATTACCGAAAGGAGTACACGTGTACGAGGATGGGGTGTTACATAGGAAGAATGTGCTTAAGAGAACTCTGCTGCGATAAATAGATGGGAAGATCAAGTAGAAAGGGGTTACTACACAGAAAAGATAACCAACACGGAAAAGTAGTTAGTAAGAAGAAAAAATCGAAAACATATAGCCAGTAGATAGTCAAGTGACCGCGACAAATCGATGTGCTGAGATTTAGGCCGGCGCTTGACCCGATTAGACAGTGAATTTCCGAGAAAGGATGGAAAAAACGATATTATCTGCAGTTATGTAACCCCATGACCCAGAGGACAGTGTCTAATGGGTAAAAACAGGTCTGAGGAAGCAAATGAGGAGAAAGAGTTGTCCGTCTATGCAAGTCGGCAGATTGCTTGACATTTAGTGGTTGTTCTCCTAACTGAGTCAAAGCGAGAAGTACTTGGGCCCAAAAACACCGCCGTTAATGGTGGTAGACAAACAGTATATACCGAGGTTTCGTTATTGGGTCTTGCAGTACCCACCGTGATTCTGGATTGCGACACGCAATCTCGATTGAGGCTACAGTTTGCATTGAAGCAAACCTATGCCATTTCGATCAGTGGGGCCGCAACCGAAGTGGAGAGTTTCGGAGCTGACTTCCCTCAATATTGCACTTCATGACCGACCGGTTTCGTCCTTATTTGGACCCGTCAGATAGAGATAACTTGCACTGAGAGGGGAACCCAACACTCTGGTTGACGGCTTTTGTTTTTATCACTAGACCAGAGCTCCACAGCAGCGCTTGACACAGCGGGTACTGCAAGACCCAATGATGAACATCTAATCGCTGTGTCAAGCGCTGCTGTGGAGCTCTGGCCTAGTGACCAGGACTAAAGCCGTTAACCACTGTGTTGGGCGCCCTTCACACCTCAGGCTTTCTTTACTTGACGAGTCCAAACCAACATGAGTCGTGCAGTGCAATGTTGGAAGAAAGTAGCTTCGAAACTCGCCACTATCGAGGTTTCGCTTATTTGTTTCTATTGAAGAAAATGTTTACCATTGACGAGTGTTTGTTCGAATGTAAAATAGATCTACTCAGAAAGGTAGCAGACACAAGAAGTTAGATATGACAACAACGTGGAATGGATGTAAAGTCAGTAGACAGCCAAGCGATCGTCAAATGCTAATGAGTTGAGCCTTAAGTCAAAAGTCAACCAAGGTTTTGCCAATCGAGTTCTGAAAAATATTGACAAAGACTATGTCAGTCAGTATGGAAGAAACCCAATGACCTAGAAGACCTTACTCAACAGATAAAAGTAGGTTTAGGAAAGTGAATCATAAGGCGATGAATAGTAAAATGAGCAAGTTCCCAAATGGCTGGTGGGTTTGTGAATGCATATTTTTACATGGATATGTGACGAAAGGAAAATGAGCGTGGCATCAGGCATCGAATACCTTTCTACCTAGTTATCAAAGCCAGTCAATAAGATCTGATTCAGTGTCACTCAGAGAGGACGGTGTAAAGAAGGACGGTGTAAAGAAGGACGGTGGCCCATAATATGTCTTTTAGAGTGGCCCCTGGGACTTTATATGCAGAAAAATGAAGTTCCCAAAATGAAAGCATTGGTGCTTTTGCACTCTGTGAATTAGTCGTGCAAACGTAGACTCGAATTTTACTTGCACTGTGGGGTCATCCGCCTGGATAAGAATGTTCACCAGTAATTCTTCAGACGAGACGGAGGTGTCCAGATTCAAAGCTACACAGGCACACAGCCAAATGGGGCATGGAAGCGCGTGTGAAACTCTTCTATGGACTACGTTGCATGGGAGCAGGTCCCCGGAAGACGGTTCCATGGATAGTAGTATTACTTCCCTTGAACATTGAGATTTATTTACACTTCCATTTGTGACAGCGTCTTAAGGTTCCCGAAAAACTCTTCGATCAATCAGCTCTCCGCCCTCCAAACAGTTTTAAAATGCTCTGGAAAACTGAATTAAAATAATATGTCAAATGCGATCCAAGTTGCACCTAACGACCAGACCATTCAGTTGGGCTGTGCCTCGCACTGTCGAAGAATATACCGGCACATTTTCTTCGCGACAACTTCATATTGCCTATGCAAAAGCATGGTATTACCCGTACATATATGATCTGTGCCAAGTATGCGCAGCTTATCACCTAATGAGAAAGATACCTATTATTGTCATTACTATTATTATTATTACCACTATTATAACACTGACATCACAGAGGATACCGACACCAAACTAGCAAAAGGGATTATAAAAATGTCGTGTGAAGAACGGTGAAAGTTAAACCACGAATTAAAACAACACTCACCTGGAAGAAGGTCGCTGAAGTCAACCCAAAGCTTAGCACCAGTCCACAAACGATGTGGTGCGGTATTATCGATTGCGTGGAAGCGTGAAGCAACGTCGCTTAACGCACATTCGAGTTCAAAAGGTGTGATGACGGGTACGAGAATATCACGTGAGTCCAGAAGACTACATTCGGGGCAACCGACGATCACTAAGAGATCTAACTCAGGGAGATTGGCCAGTTTTTCCGGGATAAGGCGTCCAACGGCCAGTGTGATACAAAGGCGACCAGCACACTTGAGAAGACGTTGCAACCGTTCAACAATATCTAGATAGTCACGGACTGATAGTGTGCCTATCTGATAACGAATAAAAGGAAGTTTGATGAAGATTCAAAAAACAGAAAGGAACATGGGTGGAGAGAGCGATTTGATTATTCTATGGGAACCGGTGGCGAAGATACGCATCAGTTCAGAGTTCCGGAAACGTATCAGATTTTAAGAGCTTAAGGCCAAAAAATGTGACTGGCTAGGCACAGCACCGCCAGTCACGAGTGTCTGGGTATCGGCGGTACAGTACTAGGAGTGGGTATTGACTGTAAGCTCGTCACATGCGTCAGACGTTACACTGAAGTAGTGAAAAAGACGACTGAACGAAAGAAGCGAGTATGAGACGAAATCTGCTGAACGAAGCACATGACACAGACAAAGGTCATATCAACTAGCCAAGTAATTACTGACGAAGATGGCAACTAACGTGACAAAAAATTCTGTTATTCGAAAACTCAGGGAGTTCATATTCAAAAACCGAAGGAAGCTAGTCAAATAAGACCGACTTTGTAAGCTGTACGATCTGAACGCCGTGAGCTGAATTCGAAGGCAGTAAGCTGCCACAGGTCGACACAGTAGAGATAATTCTACGAACGGTCGCGTGGGCATGCGAAACGGTGGGGTGACACCGCGACGAGAACCCGATCTCCAAGAAAAAAAAACGTTCAACATGGGAGAGAAGTAGCGCACCGTTACAAGATTTAATGAACGACGTTAGGGGGAAGCAGTTCACCAGTGAAAAGAAGACTGAAAAGACAAATCAGGCTATAGTGAGTAAACAGTATGCATCCAATTGCTAACCAATACAACAGATCAGCCGGTTGTAAAACGAGGTAAACTCCTAGCACAATCCTTTAGACAGAACCCGGTGGGAGAAATGTTGCCCACCGCGAGTCGGTGGTTTAGAGGTGGAGGTTTCGGATGACATCCAAGTGTCATGCATTCGAGCCGCAGTTCTACATCCCCCAACTTGACGAGTGCAAACGAGTACGCTGCACGCGGGTAGCTGTTCAAAAGGGCCAACCAACTAGCTGGGATTCAGTAACGAAGCTGAAAAATAATGCCTACTCCGGCTTCACCTGTAATTGCTGCACTGGCATCCCTGGATGCGCGCAGTCAATAGAGAGAGAGAGAGAGAGGATAAAGCAAATGTGGAAGTTACGCTAAAAGAATGACTGTCCTAGTTACTTGGTTCGTGGACCCGACACGTGTCAACATCAAGGACATTCAGTGCGCGGCAACTGCAACCTCCTGGAATTTTATATTACTGGGAAGCAGCAGGATTTTAGTTGTAATTTTGTTAAGGCTCTCCTGGAATTTGTAGGCTAAGAGTGAACAGAGTGGTTTGTTGAGAAGGCTGCTATGAATCGCTGTGAGGTGGGTGCAAGTAGCAAAATATATGTGGTGCGATAACTACCATCTAGTGCGTAGGTGCGAGCGACCTCGCAGCAGACCCAACCCACGAGCGATCGATGGATATCACGTGGTAGCGGAGCGTAGGCACCAAGGGCCGGCGTAAGGCTAATGCTCTCTCGCTGCTATACTTGCGATTAGTACCACGAAAGTAAATCTGGTAACTGGAAACAGAGAAGGGGCAAAAACAACTGATGGTAAAGAAGGCGAAGTTAATGAACATTCCGAATTAGCATTGAATGATCTTGTACGTTGTTTCTTCTTTTAGGCAACAAGCAAATCCCACGGACTGCAGGCAAACAGCGGATGCGAACTTGAAAATATATGAATCCAGAGTATTTTGTTAAAATGTCCGCTATTACCTTGCTGAAAAAAGAATGACAACCGCAGTATCCGATTTTCCACTACTTGCCTTGCTATGGTTAGCAAATAGAGCAACCCTTTAGTAACTGTGATGGTGTATGAACGGAACTGAAGTAGGGTGACATGGTTATGGTTGTGGATCTGGGTATTCAGACATCATCATCAATACACGTTAGCCGAGAGTGAGAAACACACCTAAGCTAATGTGCCGCCATACAAACGAGTAAGACATTAAGCAATGTGGACTTAAAAGCTAGAAAAATGTAACATAATACTAATAGCACATGTTCGATGGTTGTTGGAGCGGGAAGCTAAAGGGAAACGGAAAGACAAAGAGACTCACAACACAAACGCCACTGAGGTCCACTCTTCTGGGTATTCAGACCGTGGTAACCGAATGAGTAAAGATCAGGAGGAAAGACCTTATGCCCGTAAACCTTGCACTACAAGCAAGGAGATTCAGTATCCGTCTAACATATTAGTTATTTTCATATAGATGAGTACGATTTTGGTTCAAACGCTTAACGCAGAGGACCAGCAGTGAGTTTGTCTGGGCGAACAATCGGTTGAACGGGATTAGATACCGTACTTCCAAAGACATTAGATAGTATAGTTAAAGAGATCGGGGAGGCACATAGTGTCAGGTTACGCTAAGCTCCAATCTTGTTGCAACAGAGGTCGCATAAAAGCAAATGATGCCTGGAGAGTAGCAACCCGAGCACTGATGAAATAATTGGAAAAACAACACTTACAAGTATACCAACGCATTGAGCATCTTTGGCCTTTTCTATCAAATACGTCCTGCGTCTAAGTAGCCTCCGTATTGAGTCCTCGGATGCGCCCACCTCGTGCGAGTAAGTGTCATAGTGGAATGTATGTGTGAAGTCAACTTCTGGAAAGGAGAGCAAAATGCGATAAAAAGACAATCCATGAAAGGTCTCTTCCGAGCCACATCGACCGACATGAATTAGACTCCAAGGCGGTACGGGAGGAGAAGGATTTTCACCAACGCAGTGAAATGCACGACCGCAGCGTCTGAAGATAACAGTTGGAAGACTGGCAGCGAAAGGTGAAGCACCGATCGATTCGGAATGAGAAGGTAACTCAGGTTCAGACCAAATTATCGGCCAAGAACGTCCAGAACTAGCCGACTGTCGACTAATGGTTTGTAATTGAATGCATAATGCATGCGCCACGTTTTGGTAATCGAAGTCATAAGTGATAACCAGAGGCTGTTGAGCGTCGCGTGAGAGCAATTGGTCGTGAACAGTCTTAGTGATTCGGCGTATGGTTTCTGATATGCCCATCAGTTCGGGATGGCGCTGTACGTAGACGAAAAGGACCGGGAGTTTACCACTCAGGTTTGAGAGGCAAGCATGGCCATAATGTACGAGAGCGTCGATGTGCAGTCTTTTTCCGGCTATCTCATCTACACAGCAACTGAAAAGAACAGACAATAACACAATAAACCAAAATGGCTGGAACAGGAAGGACACGTGTCAAAACGCTCGGAGCAAAGCGCTGAACAAAAGACGTGTAACATCATTTTAAGTTGGTAAATAGGTAATCAAGCAAAATCTCCCGGTTAAGAAAAAGTGCGGAGTACGGATACAGTCATGAAGAATTTCATCATGAAGAGGATAGAAACGGGAATGCAGAGTACTAGTACAGCCCACCAGCTAAAGCGAACAATAAATTTTCTTTAAGTAAGAACACGGCTCCGGGAGCGGATTTCGGTACCACAAGATGCTGACCGTACGCGAATTTTTGTAAGAATATGCAGTGGTACAGACAGGAAAGATCGGCTGCTCATGCAGCTTAAATCCGAGCAACGCGCTCTCTGCTAGGTCGGATGAAACTGGACAATGATTCATTTCAGTTTCTTGATGACAAGGAAAGGAAAGAAGGGGCATAAGCAGTACGCAGTCCCGACGCTTCGATGACGTGCAATCACCATCAGTTGCATGTGAGCTAAGAATACTGCGAAGGTCTCCCGGTCCCCTACGCAAGCCCGAACTCGCGACCTCGAATTACACAGCATGCTTATGATCTTGATGACCAACGAGCTGCAGTAGGATGATGCATGTGAGTTTGAGAACAATAGCTTCAGAGCACTACCTCGAACAATTCGCTACAACGAACGGATAACAACCTCTAGATCTGGTGGCAACATAGTGTGAGCAGTGAACGTGTTAGGTGTCGTATATCTGGTGCAGGAAGAGCGAATGAGCCTCTTAACACCGTTATTTTACGCACCAGGCTCCAATGACTCGGCCAGGTGTTGCGCATGCCAGCCCACCGAGTCCAGCGACATGTGTTGTCTGCGCGCTGCACTAGCACGCACGTTAGATACAATGGGTACTGACGTGTGTTGCGTATCCAAAACTAGGATCAATGACCCTCACAGGGTTGTTGAATTAACTGCGCCCGCTATTGGTTGCGCGCATCCGGAGACAATGATGCAGCAACCACTGGTCAAGTTGGAGTGGGCATTGTTCACAGCTCCAAGGCTGAGACATTATTGGTTGTTGGAATCATGTGAACAGCCGTTTGTGTGCAGTCCGTTGGACGACATCAATTAAGATTGACTCGCGAAATAGTACAAGACGCCGTTTGCTCGTGGGATTCGCTTATGCTCCCACCGACTGCAGTTCTGATATTACCAAGGACACATCCTACCATGAATTGAATACGATACTACGCAGTACTACCAGTTCAGATATCATAATACTTGCAAGGGATATGAATGCACAAGTAGGTCGCCTGGGAACTACAGAACCTCAGCTAGGTGGTAATCATGGGTTTAACTCCGAACGGACTGATAACGGCGACCGTCCGTTGCAACTGTGTGCCGTTTCTTAGTAGCACCGCTTTTAGACACAGTGGGCACCGAAGTGCCACTTGGCGTCCTCCTGTAGCTAGTCAGCGATGGACCAAAATTGATCACATTGTCATAAGTTACAGGCCGCGTAGTTTCATCCCGGATTGCCGCTCGTTCTGTAGTACTTGCGTCGATTCTGACCAGGCCTTGGTACGCAGTCGTTTCTCCATGAACTTTACCGGGAGGTGGCACCAAGCGTCTCCTCCGATTGGTAACTGAGAAACTGTCTCAGCCCTCGGTCAGGCAAGCCTATCAAGACGCACTGCATACCGAACTTTCGCTGATTGTCCTAATGACACTGAAATTGAAAAAGCCGAAAAAGTGTCCGTTTTCCTTTTTGTGACAAGCAGATCATTCATCTTCCGCTGAATTCCACGGTCTTAGACAGTTCTACATCTTTTAGGCATTGAGCTCCCTGTATCAATTTGAATAGCACAAGAAAACGAAGGGTGCAAGATGGTACCATTTCGTGCCCACTGTTCAGTTGCAAACGGACATAACAAATGATAACGTGACAAAAAAGAAATCAGTAATTTGAAAGCGTGAGGTCACATGCAAGTGAAGTAAACGTTGGCTACAGGTTGAGGAGGAATTATTAACTCCAAGGGAGGTCGAGTGTTACGAACAGTTGCTTTTGGACACAATGTTGGAGAATGCTTTTTATGGTTATCGCGCCGGCAAAATTGAGGACTTTGGCGTTTGTGTTACCATAGGTGACACTAAACGCCGAGTTGAGGTCTACCTGATGACTCGTTTCCATCAGGTGTTTCGCAATCGAAGAGGTAGGTGTTTTGGTCGACACAGGTCACGTTTGCGGCTGCCTTGTCAGGGTAACCATACGCTTTAGAATGTGCTCCCCAATGCGCTTACACAAGCAACGGTCTGTACTGCCGATGAAACGGCTTCCACAGTTACAAACAAATCGATAGATACAGTGCATTGTGGCGGAGACCGGCTTAGTAGGCTTGACCGGGGGCAGTGGTAGCTTCTTGGTTGTCCAGAGAAGGCAGAATTTAGCGGCACCGGATGCACGCCGCAATGCAACTGCTGTGCGTTGTTTCACCTGCCTAGCCAGAACACTCCGTTTGAAGGGTAGTCGCCGATAAACAGACATTTCGGTAGTGTAAGAACGACCGGCTGTTCACTTTCCGCGGGGCGGCTATGAAACCTAATATAGGCTTCTGATTAGCCATTCGCCCGTAAAGTCTGCGTAATGAATTGCAATTCAGCCTTGATGCATTCCGTACTGCATATCCTGCGGGCTTGATTGCACGTGACCTCACGCTTTCAACTTACTGATTTCTTTTTTGTCACGTTATCATTTGTTATGTCCGTTTGCAACTGAACAGTGGGTACGAAATGGTACCATCTTGCGACCTTCGTCTTCTTGTGCTATTCAAATTGATACAGGGAACTCAATGCTTCAAAGTTCTAGGACGAAGGCTCTCAAATGAAACGATCAGCGTCCTTTATGGATTGGTAACCTTAAAGTGCAAGATTGCCATGGAGAAAGTGTGCATTCATTTTCTCTGTGAGTGCAAGCGAAACGCTAGGTCCAGTCGACAGTCTCGTGAATTGCTGCGGAGAAATAAGATGAAGCTAACCCTCACAAACCTAAGACGGCTTGCCAATTCATACTTAGAGGAGGCCAACAGAATGCTATCACAGTTGTTGGAGATACATGAATGTCGTACGTCCTTTGTTGATCATAATGATGATGATGATGACTTCGCTTGCATGTGAACTCACGCTTTCAACTTATTGATTTCTTTTTGTCACATTATCATTCGATATGTTGTCCGTCTATAAGTGAACAGAAATGGTATCATCTTGCAACATTCGTCTTCTTATTGTGCTATGCAAATTCTACGTCTACTCATCAAACCATTGCATGCACATTTTGTATGGAAAAGCTAAACATAAACACCCTATATGTGTGACCAAGGTCTACCGCATCACCCAGAGCTCACAAGCCGGTAGCTGGCATAGTAACGATGGGCAAAAACAACGATTGGGTAAAGGAGCACAGAGCGAAAAAATTACTACCAGACAGATGTAAGAGCTGCACAGCTATCAGGTAGAATCAGAAAATAAAAAGAAGGCAATCGGCATTAAGCAGGGATATTCATTATGTACAGTAGTGTCAAAACTAAACTGCAATTAACGATGATAAGCACAGTAGATGCGACCATGCTGAGTCACATGTTGAGAAATCAATAGGCGAACAGTATATAAGAAACAACATTTGGCACCAATAAAGTTACATATATGACGTTAGACTAACCCACCTTGAATAGGATGTATCCGCAAGAATGAAACAAAATCGCTGTGTCAGTTCCGATAATCTATGGCACACTTTCGCAGCTACATGAAGAAGATAGTCCGGAAACTGAAGGCCTATCTAGAGAATTGAAAACGAAGAATATCGAAGTACCCGTTGAAATGAATTCCTCTTAACCCAGTGGGCAGTTTCATCAATCTGGAAAGCTTGAGTGAGACCTTCATCGGAGTAAGATGGGCGAAGACCGCCGATAGACGGCGCTGCGGAGGAGGAACTATCAGTCACGGGGGACGCGGACATAAATCAAAATAAGTAGTTCAAATTCAGGTGGGACTGGAACGATAGCAGCATCTCGTGAGCGTTCTTTATTGAGCGAGTCGTTGAGTCAGAAGTTCAGAAGATGCTTCGAGACCTGACGAAGCTGAAATGAAACTTGGATAGTGAAACTACGAAAGCTATATTAAGCACGCCGTACAAAAAGGAAAACGGTAGACTAGTGAATCCACACTGCGAACGGTCTAGAGAAAAAAGACATTCTCGTAACCGTGGTTAGGCACCCTATGATCAGACAGTAGAAACTTGATAAATAGGTTTGTAGTCGGAATGAAAGTAAACTGAGTAGGTTATGCCACAGCGGGGAGAAACCCAGCAGGAAAACAATTCGCTTATCATTAGGGAGGCACCATGTCAGACCCGTCGCACTAAGATCAACACAAGCGGCATTAGTCAATGCAAGTCGGGTAGTTCCCACTGCGTCAGAGTACTAGCATCCTACATCATCACCATCATTATACACGTCAGCTAGAGGTGGGAAACACCTCAGCTACTGTGCCGCAATACATAAAGGAAAAGGAAAATAAATACAACAGTTGCATGCCAGACGAGCTACCAGCAAAGGATGGCATAGTTCCGGTAAGCTACCAGCCGGTTACTAGGCAAAAAGAAAAAATTATGTCCTACGCCACGAAATGAGATCGTGGTTGGAGGGGGAGGCTAAAAGGGAGGGGGAGACTAAAAGGGATGGGGACGGACAAAAAACTCACAGCAGGAACGACACTGAGGTCGGATCCTTTAAATGTCAGCCAGTGTGTCCAGCCAAACGTGTTCACCATCTTTTGGACCCCAACCAGGGAGCCGTGATGCTCCAACCGAAGCTAGCTCCGAAGTGAGGGTCTTCATTCCTCTGGACCAAGTCATCGCTTAGCCACCCCTCCTCTTCCATTCACATCCCCGGTGAGCAAACAACGCACGTCGAGGGAGTCGGTGGGCTGGCATGTGCAACACGTGGCCCAGCCATCGGAGCCTGACGTGTGAAATGACGGTGCTCAGCGGTTCAGTTCCTTTTCCTGTGCCGTAAACAAGGCTCGTTACTCACGCAGTGTTCTCACCAGATGTGAGCCAAACTGCGAAGGCACCGATGGTCGAACGTAACTAGACTCTTCATGTCCACCGATCTTATGGGCCAGGTTTCGCAACCGTACAGTAGGGTCGAACGTACCGCTGCACTGTACACCCTATCCTTCAGGGCGAGAGTAATGTCGCGCCGCCGCCATAGGTGGCGAAGGTTAGCAAAAGCACTTCGAGCTTTTGCTATACGGTTCGTGATCTCGTCTTCGATTCCAAGGGCGCTGATACAACTTTTCAGATAGTCGAATTTCCAAACTACTTCTATCTGATCCCCACCAAGGGTCAGCGCAGGAGGCGATCCCTGCCAATCTTGGAGGAACGCTTTGCAGTTCGATGGTGCAAAGCAAAGCCCGAAGCGGCTAACACCCAGTGCTAATCTGTCCAGTGCACGTCTGGGAGCTGTCACAGATGAGAGCAATGTCGTCTGCATACTCCAAGTTAAGAAATCTTTCTCCTGGGAGTAGCTCCACACCTTCCAAGTCATGTCCTGTAAATGAAATCTCCATGACTTGGTCAATAGCAAAGTTGAAGAGGAAAGGTGACAACAGATATCCTTGTGTCACATCGCTGGAGATATTGAAGGGTGGCAACAGCCTGCCGTAAGCCCTCACTCTGCTCGTGCTACGCGCGTATAATGCCCGCATAATATTTACATATTTCTCGGGCACACCTTTCCTGAGTAGACAATTCCAAAGGGCACATCGATCAACCGAATCGAAGGCACCTTTGATGTCGAGGAACACGACTACGGTGGGCCGCCAATATGTGTGACGGTACTCCAACTACTGACGCAAGGTGAAGATGTGGTCGATGCAGCCACGACTTCGGCGAAACCCGCCTTGCTCCTCACGAATCTGGCTCTCACGAGCGCCAGTCAGTCTGTGAAGAATTATGGAGGCGAGTAATTTGGAGGCGATGGGGACCAGACTGATTCCTCTATGGTTGCCGCATTCAGAACGCGAGCCTCCTTTGAAGATGGGGACAAAAACGGAGCGGCTCCAGTCGGTTGGGACAGTCTCCTGCTCCCACAGTTTCACTAGTAATTCATGTAAAGCATCAACAAGAGCAGAGCCTCCAAGTTTGAAGAGGGTTGGAGGAAGATCATCTGGTCCCGCGGCTTTGTTCAACTTCAGCAGTCCGATCTCACGTTCGACTTCTGAGCGAGAGGGTGGATCCAAGGGGAGAGACCACGGAGCAGAGCGATCACTGGCCGGCGAAGAATCGAACAATTCTAGCCGATTAAATTGCTTTTCAAAATGCTCAGCCCAACGCTCCAAACGCTTTGACAAGTTGTGGATAGGCTGTCCACTCTCGTCACGTATAGTTTCACTAACACCAGATCTCCTGCTGCCCGTTTCCCCTATCAGACGGAATAACTTACGATGGTTGCCAAGGGCAGCGGCCACTTCCATCTCTGATGCACGACGAGACCACCAAGATTCGCGGTCTTTCTTCAGGCTAGCACGGAGTTTTGCCCGGAGCTCTTTGCGAGTTTCATTGTGTTCGCTTCCAGTCGGGATATGCCGGCGAGCGTCCATAAGTTCCAGAGACCGCGAAGAGACCCAAGTGCCATGTTGGCTATTAGACATACCACATGAGGATTTGCCTGCTGCTAGTAAGGTCTGGCGAACATGTGACCAGTGACCACCAATTGTCTCCAGTGAGCGCTTACTCAACTCGCATGTCAGCGTACTTCGATACGCATTCAGAACAGATGGCTTTGTCAGTTGGCTGGTGTCAATGCGCTCACAGCGTCGTCGTGAGCGTCCGCCAAAACGCATCCGCATGTCAGCACATACAAGTGCATGATCGGTGTCCGCACATGTGCTCCAAATCGAGCGACAGGTTAAGGTCCAAACAGACATCTGCAACTTTCTTTAATCTGTGCATTGATAACTAGCTCCGGCAGATTATTCTAGTCATTTATTACTTAGGTGGATCCGCCTCAATTTAAATAACTTCCAGTCGTGACATCATGTCGAATTCCTCAAGCTGAAATGGGAGAGCTGCGTCTGGTAAATATGAGACTTCCACGGCAGTGATGGCAGTCAAGTGAGAAGAGGTTACTCCGCTGCAGTCCAATGAGGAGGTGAGATACCCCGAAGACCAAGGACGGACTTCGAGCCACGTCTCTGGACGATTTCACTCAATGCATATTCAAGCTATGAGAGTGGAAAAGCTGCTGGTAAGCCATACCCTAGAATCGACCGTAAGTGAAATAATCACAAGCCAGATCTTTGACGTCATTATGGATAACGATCTTAAGGTACAGCACATCCTGTATGCAATAGCGATTTTCCTCAGCGTATTTAGGATTATTTTCAGATAAGAGGTCTCACTTCCAAGCAGCTTTCTTGTAAAGAAACCCTTCAATTTGAAAGGAGTCAAACTGATTAGGGACACTAATCCGGAGGACGCAATGATCTTTGTAGTTTATGAATCAGTCCCAGTTGATGAACCAGTCATGTAGTAAATCTAGCCTAGCCTCTAGTCGAGCAGTATACCCACCTAAGATACTTCAGGACATAGCTTGAGGCCATGGGCAGAAATTAGGCAGAAAGGTCGAAGTCATCGAGAAACAGGTTAAACAACTCGGGTCCGAAGATAGATCTATTCGGAACCCGCTGGTCATGAGCACTGGCTGGGAAAGCGTTTCGTTTACTTTCATTTGATTGATACAACCTTTCAGGAAATCTGCGATCCATGAGTAAAAGCTGCGACTGAAAGTAACTTCACGTAGCTTACAGAGTAGTAGTTGATGTCAAAATTTGGTAAACGTCTTGCTAAAGTTGACGAAAGTAGCATCTAAGCGTTGGCCAGCTTTAATTGGCCACATTTATATCGAAAGAGATTTGCGGTGCAGGAACTTTGTTTCTGAAAGCCATGTTCGGTGGATCAGGTGATGTTCAACTTATCACAGTGCTTCTGGAAGAGGTTTGATAGTTTTTCCAAGGAGATTGCAAAAGATCGCTGTCGAGCCAGTGGAGTAACAGTACACGGGGTCTTGGCAATTTTCCATTTGTACTTAAGCACCACGGTGCCAGTTGTCTAACTGGTGAGCAGCCAGACAGCTTTCAGCGACAGTTGAAAGACTTGGCAGATTGGTGTTGCAACGTAGTCATCCACCGTCCTAAGAAACGGAGGATGCAGCTTGTCAGAGCCAGTTTTAGTTCAGGTAAGAATTTCAGAACAGCTTCTGGGTTGAGTTCGAAATGTTCTAGAGGGTAGAAATGCGCAGTGACCGACGGGGTTTCAATGTCCATACAGGAAAGATATGTTGGGCAAGACAAATTCAAAAGAGAGAAGACAGAAAGGCAGCAGTATGTTGATACACCGGACTAACGATTTGCTGAAACGCGGCCATCGCCAGGTGCGCGTGGGCTGGGTAAACTGCGAGATCGCCATCAACTATGCGGCTTCGAATCTGTGTCCTTCGGAGCATATAGCAGATGCCTTAAACCTTCGGCTACCAGCTGGCAACGAGTCGAAATTAGAACACAAACATTTAACAAAGCAAAGTGGGGAGGACCAATAATTGTGGACCGAAAAATGGGGATAAAAGTGAAGTTCGAATGAGGCAGGGACGAGAAGATGGAAGAGGAGAAATAAGCAGATGAAGATGCCCGAGCATCAGCACGTTCCCGACTCTTCCACACCTTTGAATGCGATCTTGCAAGTAAATGCGCCCACCAATTATAGCATACCACCAGATGTGAGACTTGATCATCTTTGGCCTTCTTAGGTGATTCCACGTGTTCCTGGAAATAATCGTATTGACCGAGACCGTGTCGAATTGCAGTTTCGTTGGGATCCCATTAATCAAAACACGGATGAATCATCATCTCGATATAGACTCACTTTGGAATGCGGCAACTATGGACAGAGACTCTGGGTTACTCTTTCTAAAATTCCTCTTTCTCTAAAATTTCTCTTCGCGTTCATCGACCGGACCTGACTGCAGAATTCCTCCTATGCCCACGCTTATGACACGTTCCACAAATATGGCGTTTGAAC